TGGGAAGGCATGGCATATTGATAGCTTCGGTCCAAGAGATGAAGTTGCACAGCAATTCAACTTTGTTGAATTGCTCCGGGTACAACGTGCACCGTCGAGATCGCGAGCGAGATAATGGTGGTGGCTTAGCGTTCATCACGCACCACACCCTGCAGTATCGTCTAATCGAAGCAGACATCGACCGCAGGCATACCACCCTAGAATGTCAGGGCTTTGCTATCCGGTCAGGCGATGTTGAGCTCCAAATATTTAACGTTTATATACCCCCTGTCACCTGCTGCCCGGCATAATATCACCCTGACATAGGTGCGCTCCTCAGAGGTGAAAACCGTATGGTAGTAGGCGAGTTTAATGCGCACCACGATCTTTGGCACTCAAGCCTGTCAAACGATCGTAGGGGAACTGACTTGGCTGAGCAGATAGACGATTCGACATTCTGCACAATGAATGACGACGCACCCACCAGGATTATGGACAGTTGCTGCAGCTCGCCAGACATAACAATAGTCAGCGCTGGCCTGATAAACAGCATATCATGGCGACCTATGCTGACTTTGGCGTCAGACCATCTGCCCATTGTCATCTTGATCGATAAACTAACTGCTTTGCTCTCCCCACACCAACCGACGTCCACCTTGGTGAATGTAAGTTCCGCAGGGCTGTCACCGCTGCTGCAGCTCGCTTCGTACCGGCAGGATGTATCACCGACCCACGAACAAATTTCCCTGCTGAAGCGGCTGTTCTAGCCGATGAGCGTGATAGCCTTCGTGAGGCCGATCCCGGAGATTCGGCAACTAGTAAACGTACATAAGCGGAAGAAGTGGGAAGAGCATCTGAAGACCTGTAACTTCACTTCTGGTGTGAGTAAGCTTTGGTCAACCGTGAGGTCACTGTCCAATCCGCCGAAGCACGACGACAGAGTCGAAATTTCTTTCGGCGACTATGCTTCGTCGGACCCGGAGTGATGCGCGAGCTATTTTAGCCGGCAGTTCATACTACATCCTCCGGTGGACAAAGCCAAGCGTCGAGTGACCAGAAGGCTGCACAAACTGCCAACAACCTGTGCCCCCCTTGCTTTCACTTGCGGTGAAGTTCAGGTGGCCATCGGGAAGGCGAAAGCCTCCAAAGTCATGGGTCCCGACGGAATATGCATGCTGATGCTGAAAAATTTGGGTCCTGCGGGGGTAGCGTACCTAACGGAGGTCCTCAATTTGTCTATGGCCACTCTCATCATCCCAGACTTCTGGAAGTTCGGGAGAGTGGTGCCACTGCTCAAACCGGGGAAACCTGCCAACAGAGGAGATTCTTATCGGCCGATAACACTCCTTTCCCCGGTAGCGAAGACACTCGAGGCCCTGCTCCCATATTTCACAGACCACTTGACCCCAGCGAAGCATCAGCATGGTTTCCGTAAAGTGCACAGTACAACAACTGCACTTAACGCCATAAACACTCAGATAACTCGTGGCCTTAACCGTAAACGTCCCTGTGAGAGAACGATTCTAGTAGCATTGGACCTGTCAAAGGCGTTTGACACGGTCTGCCATTCCACGCTACTAGACGATATAGAGGCTTCCTCCCACAGAGGCTCAGCGGTGGTGAGTGGTCGACACTCGTCGGTAATATTTAGAGACAAATCGAGCAAACTTAGAAAAATAAAACAGGGGGTTCCACAGGGTAGTGTCCTTTCCCCGCTACTGTTTAACTTTTACATTTCAAAGCTCCCTCAACCACGAGAGGGAGTCTCGATTGCCTCTTACGCCGACGATTGCTGACCTGTGTTCGAAAGTAAACGGGTATCTCTGAACTTTCTCGCTTCTTCACTGCAAAGTGTCTAGCCCTCTCCCCTACGAAAATCCTCTGCGACCCTGTGCACAACCTGGACGAAGGAGGTCAGGCTACCGCTAGGAATGCACGTTGGTGACACACCAATTACGACGGTGAATAATCCTAAAATACTCGGAGTAACATTCGACAGCCTGCTCTCCTTCTCTGCGCTCGCAACCGCTGTTGTCAATAAAGTATAGAGCCGCAACAAGGTCCTCAAGGCGCTAGCCGGCAGTACTTGGGGCAAAGACAAAGAAACGTTGCTGGCAACAGACAAGGCAATGGGCCGGCCGGTTTTAAACTACGCAGCACCAGTGTGGTCGCCGGGGACTAGTAGGACGCAGTGGATGAAGCTACAGACGGTACAAAACACAGCACTTAGGACAGCGACCGGATGCCTCCTGATATCACCAGAACACCACCTCGACGATGAGGCGAAGATGCTCCCAATTAGGGAGCACAACACGATGCTCTGCAAGCAGTTTCTGGTTGGGAGCCACAGATGTGGCCACCCAAATAGACAGCTGCTTGCAGAGGAGCCCTCGCCTAGGCACGTCAGGAGGCATCTATATGAACTGACGGACGAAGTCCAGAGGTTTATTAAGCAACCTCTGGACCTGTCAGCTTAGAGACAGGCCCTGAACGGCATTCACAGGTATGCAGTCTCGAGTTATGTAGACTCAAGACCTGTGAATGCCGTTCTA